AAGCAAAACAAAGCGATTGTATGAAGCAGCAGAAATAAATTTAGCAATTGCATTAGGAGACAAAAATTTCACATTTTCTGTCCAAAGTCATCATCTTTGAAGCGGAATTTGGCATTAAGGCAAAAGTAGACATTCCTTGTATGTTAGCTAAAAGCTAGAATGTAATTTGACTGGTAGTCTTTTTAAAATGTGAAAGATAATTTTCTCTGCCATTAACAAATCCTCTCTTCATTGTGCCCAAATGAAAAACCACTGGAAAAGGCACAAGACGAAACCTCTCACACGTGGTTATGGCAAATTACAATCTTGCCAGGAAGTTCAATGTGGAGCAAATGTGAACATGGGCTAGAAGAACAGAAATTACAGAGTGACTGGAACTGATGGTATCCGGCAAAGATTTTTTAATGTATCTAAAGAAATGAATGCAGAAGAAAAAGTAATGAGAAACTGAGAAGAGAGAAGAAAATATGCTACTAGCCATGGTCTGAGATTCAAAGGCTAATCGTCTCTCGCTCCCATTCCCAGGCATAAAAAGAACAATCGTTACCGAAAAGGGAGAAACAGAGGCATGAAGTGTCTCATCGTTACTTGCTACTTGCACAAAGAAAGACTACGTTCTCCCAATTCCTAAATTTTATTCAGTACTTCAGTGGTTGCCTACCTAGCTTGACAATTACTTTACAACTTTTCCCTGGTCTGTTTTAGCTCTTCTCATTGACCCCACTAGGAGTGAGCAAAATATTTAGCAGGAAAAAAAAAAGAGAGAGAGAGAGAAGTGAGATTTGATCAACACCATTAAATGATGCATTCTATCAGTGTACATTCAAGGTAGGTTTAGAGGCATGCTAATCATTTTTTAATTAGCAAATGTTGACTGTAGTAGGGTCCTGGGGTGGGAGTCACCACTGCGTTTCCCAATCAGTTCTGCTAATAACAAGCAGTCACGTAACCTTTGATCCTTAGTGTCTCTATCTATAATATATGGAAATTAAATTATAAAACCTCTTACATTCTTTATAATTTCCAAGTTCTGGTTTTTGTTTTTGTCTGTGACACATCTGAAATAACTTAGACCACCAAAGGATTCCCTTTCATTAGAAGGCTAAATATTAGAGTGATTAAGCTAAATGATGTCTAGTTGCTTTTTAAATTAGGGACTAAATATAATTTTGGAAAACAGTAGGGAATAATTTAAAAGGAGGTGAGAAAAATAACAAAACATAAAAGCAAAGCTAGGAGAAAAAAAGAGTGTCAAATATTGAAAATTTGCATTGACATACTTTGAAAAACTGCCTATTATGGAAATTCTATTTAATATTAACATTTTTAATGAAACTTTTATATTGCAACCAACATTTTTTCTTCTGTTTAGAAGAAGCTGTCAGAAGCAAAGGGATGACTGTCATCACTAAATAGTACACAAAGTCCCTGTAGGTATTACCTTATGGAGGGAGCTAATAGAGAGCAGTGTCAAACACAGCAGGAGCATGTTTCATGAAAGAAGGTATTTAGAATATCTTCAAAAACCACAATGACACCATTTTAAGATATGAATTCTTAAATATTTTCAAGTGATTTAAAATGCTATATTTGTAAATTTACTTAAAGTGATGCTTATTGAAATAATCACCCACCATCAACCTGACTCACTTGTTACTGTTACTTTCTCAATTTCCTGATGGGAAATAAAATGTCCATACTTTAAATAAATTTATTGAAACAAAAAACATCTCCAGGGTCCCTGGGTGGCTCAGATGGTTAAGCATCTGCCTTTGGCCCAGGTCATGATCTCAAGGTTCTGGGATCGATCCCCACATTGAGCTCCCTGCTCAGCAAGGAGTCTGATTCTCCCTCTGCCTCTCCCCTCAGCTAGTGCTTTCTCTCTCTCTCAAATGAATAAATAAAATCTTAAAAAAAAAAAAACAAAAAAAACCCTCTCTATATATTTTAAATAAGTAATCAAAAAATATTCCCTGTTAAGAAATTTTAAGTTGAACTTGATATAATGGCAAACGTGGGCTTCCTGCTTTCAGATGATTTCTCAGTAGGTTCCCTGGTATTTCTGCGTAAACTCTAAGACAGCCCTGAGTTTTCTCTGCCCCAGTAAGTCACATGGTGGCAAAATTTCAGCACAGTAGTAGTTTTGTTTAATATTCTACTAAAGTAGAATATTAAGAATAATAAATTCTTATGGAACTTATAACCCAATGAATCTATTGTAGATATTCATTTTAAAATAAAAGCTGATTTTGAAGTCTTCAGACACTGCAACCAGGTTACTATTTTCATACAATCATGGAAATTTAAAATGCAAAGTTAATTGAAAGTATAAAGATGAAAAGCAAGTGCTATGCCTAAAATAGTGCACGACACAGTCATGTTTCACTTAACTTTCAAGTCAGAACATAAATTAAGAATTCTAGATGTGACATGCCAAATATTTTAGACAAAGAAGAAAGCACACAACAGAATTCGTACCAATTACACACTTAAACGTGTAGCTTGAAGGCAACAAGTTCATGCTGTAATATTGACAACACATAATGTTTCTCTTATTTTAAAAAGTGATGCTGCATAGAAACCCCATCACCACTTTATACAGTACTGGCATTTCATAAATAGCAATTTCCCAAGCTTTGTATTATACCCAAAGTCAAAATATTTGAAAGGAGCAAAGAACACTGACACATTGAGCCTAAGAATATTTTTTGCTTATCACACAATTCAAAAGAAATAAATATTACACAATGACACTCCATCAAAAACAAATAATATGAAGTTTAACAGGATAGGTATATACAATAAATTTATGCTCTAAACTTTATCCTGTTCTTGTGAGCATTTTCTATTTATAATCATGTTGAGAGTTAAGAAAAATTAGAACTTTTATCTTTTTTATCATTTTTGTTAACCTCTTTTCTTAAGAAGTGTGTTTGGTAATTAAGATGTAAGACCAGTCAGTTAGAAGCTACAGTAAACTAACATGAAAACAAGAAAAACATCTCAAAATGTACAAATTTCTCTAGAATAAAAGTTGAACCAATAAAAATATGCAGTTCTATTTGGACACACCCAAATAAATTATAAAACATAATGTAGAGGAAAATGGAAATGTTAAAACATTCTCTAAACACTGAAATAAGTATATTCACCCAACATAAGTGAATAAAACAGGAAATATTATTCTTATTTATTTCAACAGCCATTTAACTATAATACAACCATAGTAAATAAATAATTTCATTTTCATATATTCAAATACAACCTATAAGAAATCAGATCACCCCTTCACATAAGCTCTTTTTAAAATCCTTTCCCATATGCATTTTAAAAAACTGATTATATAATTAGATTGTCTTCACTGGCCCATTAGATATACCTTGTAAATGTTTTGCAAATTGAAAATAACTTCCAGAACCCACTATCATATGGAACTCAAGACTTCCTACATTGTCAATTTATTTCCTTCTCACAAACCAATACCTACATCATTATTCCCATTTCCTAATGAGTCTCTAAAATCCCTGAGGGCAGAACCTATGATGCATCTGTTCTCTACTGACCCCAATATTATGGCAATGAAGATATGGGGTCCCCTATCTTATTTAATGAATGGATGACTGCCTGAAAGAGAGTACCACAGCTATCAGATATTTGCCCTTGATTATCTTCATTCCAATCAAATGAAGGTGGGTTCAGTAAAGTATTTCCATAGTGAAATGAACTATAATCACTAGATTGTGCTCTGCACGAAAATACATAGCTATATCCTTTTGAACACTGTTACCTAAGCTATGTTTTGTAGAACACTAAAATGTGGGATAGTAAAAAGGTTTTCCCTCCTCTTAATAAAAGGATTCCATGATCAAATAATTTGGGAAATCTAATTAAAAGAAGCTCCCACAACATTTCTTTATTGCTAGATTCCTCAAAGTACATGATATGCTAATGTATACTATCACTGTTTAAGAATCTATCAAAGAATGCTTTTGGTCTTGGAACGTCTCAACAGAAGATTGTTCTAAGAATAGGAGCTTAGGAAACAGTGTTGTAGAACAACAAAAGATACCATGTTAAATCTCCTTTACCCAAGTAGAATTACAGATTTGAAAGAAAGATTCAGTGTTCCAAGTATTATTCAGAATTCATCACTTCTGTCTCCACAGGAAGTAGAATAAAAGCAAGAGTACCATGAGCCTTCTTTTGCATCCACTTGCTCATTTTGAAAAGGTAGGGAAATAGCTATTTACAGTTACTGAAGAGTTCTCTTATTTTTTCTCAAAATATTTTCTACTTCCTCCTCCCTCTACTTCCTATATATTCTTTCTAAGCGTGTATGTACAAAAGTAGTGGGAACCTCTGAAATAAATCTTAAGGACCCCTCCTAACAATGCATCTTTATACCTGATTAATCTCTGGAAGTATTCAGAAAACCTTAATATTTATCTCACAAATAGTCAGACTATGAAATTTCTATGAGGAAAACGTCAAGGGATATTGTCCTCAGAGTTCATGCAGGCCCATTATGATTGTGCAGAGTGACCCAGTTGGTCTTCTGTTTGACTAAACCATGAATACCATCATGAAAGCTGTTGTTTCTGCATAAGGAGAAAAGTACTATATGGGAATTAATGGGAAAGCAGGAAGTTAGCTAAGTCTACACTGTGGGTTATCACAAGATTTAGACCTAGTGCCAGCTCCACCACTGGTTATGTGACTTTCAGGAAGTCTCAATATCCAAGCTGTCCGATGTCTCATTTGTAAATAGGAGGAAGTAGCAATCATAGTGGCTTTCATACTGCTTTGGGGGCTGCTGTGGTAGTGGGTTATGAAGAACAGGATAGCAGGTAGAAAGGAGGCCAAGCCAGTGGCTACTGGGACCTCAGTTCTATCTTCCAACTGAATGGCTCCCCTTTTAAGTGTTTTAGACACTGAAGTTCAGGGCAATATGTAATTTTTTTCAAAGACCCTTCTTAAGTTAAAAAAAGAAAAGAAAAGAAAAGAAAACAGCAGATTATATAATCTAAACTTCTGCTGAGATATAACTTGCTCTAGTTCACACTTTTAATGAAGGTGTTTTCATCTCAGAAAAAAAAAAGCTTTTACATTTCCTTTTCTTCATTCATGTGTTCTTGATTCAAGTAAAATAAAATCTTAATGACTTGTATTAGTTTTATATAGCTTATTTTATATTTCTGCAATATCTCTCTTATTAAATAAAAAGATGAACTGATGTGGTGCTTTTCAAAAGAAAATTAAAGACAACACAGAGATGGGATGAAGTCAATTCCTGCCCATGCTTGACTTCAGAGTTATTTTTTCCATGCTGCCTTTGGGCCCTTAAATACTGTACTGCATTATCTTTGAGGTAGAACAACAACCAAAAAAAGGCAAAAACATTCACATAAAGAGGGAAAATGAGAAAAAAAAAAAGCTGTAAGAGATTTCTTTTTAACAGAATCATCATTAGGCTTTGCAGTCTTCTTTGCCACAAAGTTGAGAGATAGTCTTCTTAATACGAAGGGCCGTTAGGCGGGCTGCCCCATTGGCATACCAACATTCCCGCATTATTCTCCCCATGACTCGGAGGGCCTTTAAGAGAGAAAATATCAAACACTTTAGCTAGTCACACAAACACAGTCCAAGAGAAGCATAACCACAAACCCAGGAATTGATGCTAAGCTCTGATGAAGAAATAGTAAATTTAAAACGGTATCAGAAGATCAGGACCAAACCTCTTTAAAAATCCAGTCAACACACACACATTAACCTTATGGAGACTAACTTTTAATTGAAAATTCGATCCACTGATTTCTGGGAATATGGTAGAGTAGCTCTCTTTTAAAATCTTCTGAGAAGGGACATGAAAGACAAAAAGGCATACAGGATGAGTTGCAAATTCCTTGATCTGGATATTAAGTACATACATGCATACTCTTTTTGTTATTCATTGAGCTGCATATTAAGATTTGTGCATTTGAACATTTAATTTATGCCATAATAAAATAATGACCTGGGTGTAAATATCAAAAATTTGAATCAAAAAATAGTATAAGTGAACTGCTAAACAAATAAGATAAATACTCAGACTGGAAAACAATCAGAGAACACAGGAATCCGGAGATGGAAGAAATCACTGAACCAGGCGTCCACTCTGGTAACATCTGCTGATCTCACAGTCTAGAATTTCAGAATTGATGAACAACATGGGAAAGACAGGAAACACAGCCAAAACACACAGGAAGTATCAGGTCAAGTTGTTTCCAAAGTCCTGAATATACAGTTGAATCAGTCTTATAAGGAATTTTGTAAAGAATATTATCTAAATCTTGACTCTTGGTAAGAAAAAAAATCAAGCGCAGGCCTTAAAATTCTACAATAAGCCTAAGCTCAAAACAAAAAGTCACAAGGCAGTAGAAAATAAAGTATCATAAGCAAGAATCTATTGAAACAACAAACAGTAAAATCAAATCCATCAAAACATTAGATGCTAGAATTGATGCCCTAGAAGAATTAATGTCCTAGAATGACACATGAAGAGATGCTCAACATCACTACTCATCACTTCTAGGTCCTTCTAAAAAATCTATTTAAATAAAATACATTTAAAGAATGCACATTAGGAAATCAGAAAATGATCTTAGAAGGAAGCTCTGAGAGGCAAAAAGGAATGTTGAACAAAGAAAATGATAAATATCTTCTTAAGTTTAAATAAGTAATAGTGGTATAAAATTGCACTAGTATCTAATACGTAGGATTAATACAGAATAAAACAGAACTAAAATATTGGATTAAAATGGACAAAAATTGCTTTTATCAGCAATGTACAAAATCGATCACATAAAAAATGACTATGTTAGTTCTATTCTAGGAATGTATGATTGGTTTAACAGTGGAAAATTTATAAACGCAATTTATCACATTAAGAGACAAAACTAGAAAGGCTATATCATTACCTCATAGGTAGGAAAAAAGCTTTTATCAAACAAAGTCAGTTTTTATTTAACGTGATTAAAGTTTTGACAAACAAAACCTACAACAAACAGCATACTCAAAGGAGAAATGTACAAAATTTTAAGGAGTAAAACATGGATATCCATTACCAATTTTTAAGCAACACTATACTGGAAGTCCTAGAAACTCAAGAAGAAGTAAAGAAAAGGCTTAAGAATTCGTCCCATAACTCTCATTATTTGGAGATATGATCATCTATGTGGACACCCCAAAAGAATCTACAGTTTTATACTCTAAGACATTTTCCCCCCACACATGCATATATATATACACATATATGTATATATACATATATGTATATATATCAGCATTGTTTAAAAAATATTAAAATCACACATAAGACAATCAACAATAAGAAAAAAAATTGTATTCTACTCATATAATGGACTACTGCACTGATATGAGCATGAACAGATTATAGCTACATATATAAATCAAAGTGAATAGAAATTAAGAAGAATATCTACAGTAAGTTTCAATAATATGTTTCACAGGGCGCCTGGGTGCTCAGTTGGTTAAGTGACTGCCTTCGGCTCAAGTCATGATCTTGGAGTCCTGGGATCAAGTCCTGCATCGGGCTCCCTGCTCAGCAGGGAGTCTGCTTCTCCCTCTGACCTTCCTCCTCCTCATGCTCTCTCTCTCTCTCTCTCTCTCATTCTCTTTCTCTCTCTCAAATAAATAAATTTTTTTAAAAATCTAAAAAAAAAAATATGTTTCACAATTACAAAAAAGTAAACAATATATTTTTAGCATGAGTATATATATATATTTATATATACATATTTATACATAAATATATATATTTTTTTTCTCCTAAAGAAAAACAAAGCAATAATAAATAATCACTATTACTAATCTATAGTAATCTCTCAGAGCAGTATGGGACCTTTGTTCTATTTTTTAAACTTAGTAGTGAATTCACTGACTGCCACTTTATTATTATGCTTAAATGTTATATATATGTTTCATATTCTTTCATATACATAAATTTATTATCAATAGAAATAATTTAATTTAATTTCAATTTGGTTATAAATATTTCAAATTCTGCTTCTAAAATAAGTATGTAAGTAAGATATCTATACAAAATAGAAACATCAAGACATAATTCCTCCCTTAAATAGAAAAAGAATTGTATGAAACATGAAGGAGAGGGGAAATGAGGAGAAAAAGTATTGTATGAAATAACCCTTATGATGAAGTCCAGCTAAAAAATGTCACTATAAAAAGACCTGAAATATTACAATTACATATGGTAGAATATAACAGTAATGATGGGGTTGAGGGAGAGTAAAGCCAAAAAACAGTTGTGGAATTAGTCAGATGGTTTGCAGTCTTTCCCTCTTCTTCCCCTCCTTCCTGCGGGAACTAGAAAAGTCTCTCGCTTCACGTAAGGCAGAACAAGCACTGGGATAAACAATCTATGCCTATGACATGATGCTTACTGGATGCATGGTTGGAGATGAGGAGATAACAGTGGTCTCTGCCATGAGGAAGCTTTTCTGATTTAAAAACAGAAGCTCAAACTTTGGCAAATGTACGAACTGTAAAGATGATCGAAATTGCAACACTTGCATGGACACTGACGACCAAACCTGTCTGTGCTCCTACAGTTACCAGTCTCCTTGCAGGCAGATCGGGCCGTGTGACTGACTCTGGTTTGTGAATCATGAGCGGAAGTGAGGTGAGTCACCTGAAGCCAAAGCATTAAAAGCCATGGGTGACCCTCCAGCTCCTCTCTTTTCCTGACCTAGACACTTGGAAACTGTGTTGAGATAGCAGCACCCCGAGATCAAAGTTACCTGGATCACTGAATCACCACAGAGAGCACAGCTGCCTGACCCATAGGGGACTGTCCATAGCAAGAAACAGTCTTGTGTAAAGTCACTGGGATACGTGTTGCTGCCACTTATCTTGGTGTTCTGTGTACATATGGCTGAAAGGAATAAAATCTTTTTGAAGACTGATACAAGGACATATACTTATACATGTGGAATGAACTGGATGCCTAGATGAAGACAGTAGAACTGTATGGTCTCTGAAAATCGTCCCGATACTTACCTCAAAATTATAACAGATAAAACATATGTAAGAACACAGCCTGGGGCACCTGGGGTGCTAGGTGGCTCAGTTAAGTGTCAGACTCTTGATTTTCGCTCAGGTCATGATCTCAAGGTCAAGACATCAAACCTTGCACTGAGCTCCACACTGGGCACGGAGCCTACTTGAGATTCTCTCTGTCCCTCTCCCTCTGCCCCTTTCCCGAAACCCTGCCCCACTCCATTCCCAGCCAAAAAGGAACACAGACTTACTTCACAGCTTTGCCACTGGTTTGGGATACTTGGCCGAAACTTCTGGTCACAAACAACCTTCCTCATTTCCTCTATTGAAGGATCTGAAGGCACCATGTCATAATAAGGCAACTGGTACTCCTCAACAATTCCTATAAGAAATTTGCATAATAAATTTCCCAGTGTGAATAATAAACAAAGATGCTTATTTCAAAAAGAATACCAGTTAAGTCCTCTAGGCACAAGTGGCACTCTGAGAAACTGGAAAGTCAGGTTTATGAAAATTCTATATCACTATAAGACTAAGGATATAAATAAAGCACTCAGATGAACAATTATTGCATAAGTTCTAAAATATATATTATGAAAGTTTACATAATCTTGAAAATTATATACATTTTATATAAAACATAAAATTATATCCATTTTATAAAAATATAATTTACACAATTACATAAAATTATACAATTTTGTATAAACAAATTGCATGTATATAATTTTAATAATTATATAAAATATAATTGTATATTATAAAAATTATGTGAATACTGATTTATATAAAATACCATTGTACAATTCAAAAGTAATCGCCTAACTGTAAAATTTATAGCATGGTCCCATTTGGGAATGAAGTATGTTTCTCCATTAAATACCTTTTCAAAAAAGGATAGTTTTCACTTTTTGAAAATTGATAGGCAATCTTTCAAAAGTTGAGTTTCTTACATTTGGATTTTGGGAGTATTGTACCAGAGAATGTGCCAAAGAAGCAGCAAAGGTACTGAAGATGGACAGTTCAACATGAAGGTTCATATTAAAGAGTCTCAAAAAGAAAGATCTGAACTTAATTATCAGAATATTACCTGGACTTGAGAATGTCTTCATAAAATTGTTTTAATTAACAGTGCTTTCAGTTTAAAATATTTAATTTTAATTAAATTAATTAAAATACTTAAATTAAACTAATATTATGTTATTTCAACAGTTAAAGAAAATGTAAGGACAATGACCAAAAAGCAAATCTAGAAGAATATTAATATGAAATTTAAAAAATTTATTACAAACATGTTTCAATCTTGCTATTCACCATGCACTGTCTTAAACCCTTTACATGTTTTAATGATTCCTCAAAACCACTGACTAAAAGAGGTAGCATATTATCCCTACTTTACAGAATGAGGAAACTGAGGCACAAAGAGTCATCAGTTTGCTCAAAGTCAAAGAGCTAGTAAGTGGCAGGTCTGGAACTCGATCCCAGGCTCGAGGATTCCACTATAACTTTATTGCTGCTATAAACAGCTTCATTTTCCTGAATGGTTTACTAACTTATTTATGAATAAAAAGGGGGAAAGTATGTTTTCTCATTTACTAACTTATTTGTGAATATAAAGGGGGAAAGTATGTTTTCTCATTCAAAATCCTTGTAAGTTTAAAAACTTTTTTTTAACCCATTTTTTAAAAAAAAATGAAATTGGTATAAGGGAAAGTTATATCAACCCAAAATACAAAAACTGACAGTTGTCTGATAATGACAGCTCTTTTAGTGAACATTTACTCTGTCCTATGCTCTGTACTAATTAATTAATCAAATGAATCCGTTAAATCCTCAAAACCCAAGGGATCAGTTTTATTACTCATTTTACAGATGAGGGAAATGAGACCAGGTAACTTGCCTAAAGTCAGACATTTAGGAATTTGCTAAACCACGGCTTAGTGTTATGTCGGTCTCACTGGAAAGTGAAACCCTAATCAGTTTTCTACCAGGAGTTAACTTTTCTCCACAGATGCCACAACTTCACAGACTGCATTTGTAGGGTTTCATCCTTTCAAACTCTTCCTCCTCTCATTATTAATCTCTAAACAGCTAGGAACAGTAGAGTCAGGAAGTTAGTCTTCCTCTCCACCTCTGCCCTCCACTTTCTCCCTTCCACATTCATTATCATAAGGAAAAAGCAACAACAGTAACAAAAAGCATACAAACAGGGCGCCTGGGTGGCTCAGTGGGTTAAGCCTCTGCCTTCGCCTCAGGTCATGATCTCAGGGTCCTGGGATTGAGCCCCGCATCGGGCTCTCTGCTCGGCAGGGAGCCTGCTTCCTCCTCTCTCTCTCTCTCTGCTTGCCTCTCTGCCTACTTGTGATCTCTGTCAGATAAATAAATAAAATCTTAAAAAAAAAAAAGCATACAAACAAAAACGGGAAAAACCTGAAAACTAGAAGACATCAAGTCCTGTGGCTTTTGGTAAATCATTTAACATCTTTGGGTTCAATTTCTGGTAGAAAGTAGGGATACAGCTAACTACACACAAACTCAAGAAAATTTTCAAGTGCTTCGCAAAGTATCATTAAGAAAATCAGAATTATCAGGAGAACTGTCACCCCCACCTGAGCAGTAATCATAATACAAAATCATCATTATATGTAGGGTGCTCCACTCTTGCCACTGGAAAGATAACACCAAAGGGCATTCTCTTAAATATTAAAAAAATGATTCAAAAAATACATAGAAAAAAATATCTTGTATTCAGAGCATTGAGAAAAGACAGATACGAAGAGTATCTCCAACATCTTACCTCCAACTGAACACCTTCGGGCTATTTCCCAATAAACCAGACCAAGAGAATAGATGTCAGCTCGTTTGAAAGACTCAAAGATATTCACATTCATTGTATCATCCAGCATTTCAGGAGCCATATACCTTAAAAAAACATGCACATTCCGGATCCTCTGTATGACTTTATAGCAATCCAGTAAAATACAACCTTAATAAATCCCCACATAAAATATAAATTAATAGCTTACATCAATTTTAAAAGTAGATCCAAGCCACTGTAATAAATTAAATTTATGTAATATAGCTATTGACTGAACTATAATTTTAAAAACATTTTAAATAAAACTAGAGGTCATTCTACTCAGCATATCAAAGCACAGGTGCCAGGAGCCAAATACTTGCAAAGGACAAGCTAGAGGGAAATTCAGTAAGCAAAGCATTCAATAGGAGAGATGGAACTCAACCTCCACCAACAAACGTTGCCATGGAAAACCCGTTAGGGCAAAGAGCATCTCTTAATCATCATGGTGGGCCCAGGACTCTAACACAGTGCTTAGCAGCATTCCATAAATACCTTCTCTGAATGAACAATTCTAATTCTACTATAAATTGGCTTCCAGAAATATATATACCTTATATAGTGGCTACAAGAAAATGACAGCCTTGTTCAAATAAGACTAAACCAAAGAAATCTACAGCCCATGGGACCTGATGGAGTCTAGCTGTCTTAGGAGAATTCTACGATTTTCCAGAGTATTAAGATGAGGATGCAAAACCCTCCCAAACTCTTAAAAGTTTTAGAACCTCTGAAGGAGTCCAGGGGTGGGGGGTGAGGGGTGTCTGTGATGGGGAGACATTCCGATGGGCAAGCTGAAGTTTACTTTTTATAGGGGAAAGAAGAGAAGTCCCATAGGGCTGCCCGGCTTGAATAAACTGCCCTGAAAGTGTTCCTGGGGTGTCATTAAATTGTCCTAGGGAACCAAGAGAAGGGCTCAGAGGTTTGGGCTTGGAATCTCAAACATGGCTTGGAGGTCAACTATACCAGAAATCCCCTATTCCAAAAAGCCTTTGACAACTCCAGGAAAATGTTTTCATGTTTTCTGACTTCAAGTTCAAGAACCCAGGACTTATGTCAAAGTAGCATGAGCTTGATATTCAAATAAAAGGAAATGGAAGTACACTGGCCATAGGACCACAGGCTGGCCAGAACAAGAAACCGCCAGAAATCCCATTACTAATGGGCCTGTGGTAATATATATGTCATATGTTCTGTTTCTCTCATATTTGTTCTGAACCCTCAAAAATTCTGTTCTTTGAATGTGGGACTTGTGTCCAAACTCCTACTACCTCAATATACATCAATTTGGGAGACTCAAGAATAAGTACAATTATAGTAAATACAAAACTGTTACATATTCTTCAATACGAAGGGAGTACAGTAGCACATGTATGTATTTATGTAGAGTCCCTCGCTTATCTTGCTCAACACATTGACTGTATCTATTGTTTAGAACATTGAACAAAAAGAACTAGCCCTGAGTTTCAGTTCACTTACGAGGATAAAGGCTTTGGGGCAGCTATATACTGATGACATGTTTTTTCTCTCCTAGCCATGGGAAAATGTATTTCCGGAAACTGGCCCACTCAAAATAATGTATCACTGTCTCTTCCACCATCCATCTCTACTGGATTCCCCACCCAGAGAGCTACTGTCTGTATGACTAAAATGCCAACTGTCCTTGCTTTATAACCATTCTCTCACTGACTTCTCAATGACCCAGAGAAGACTCCTTGCTTTCCTCAGCCTAATGATTTTCCATTTGGACTCCCACCTTCACCCTCAAAACACCCACACACTCACCCCAGGATTTCATGTTTATGGGGCGGTCATATGTCTGAGTGTGCCACCAAAGTTAGTGATCTTACCTTTTGGTTCCCACTTTAGGATTCTGAGGTATGTCAATTGTGTTCAGTACTGAATCATGCTTCACAGCCAGCCCTAAGTCTGCTATGGCACATGTTTCGCATTTTTTCACTAAGATATTCTTTGATTTTATATCTCGATGAGCAATAGCAGGTTTACCTATGAAGCAGAAGAAAAGAATACACATTTTTTTTTCTTTTTTGTTGTTGTTGTTGTTACCAAAGGCTGACTCTCCCTAAAAGGAATCACATTGAACACCTGGCTCAAAAGTCACCTCCAAAAATAGGTCTTCCCTGACCACACATTCCACATCCCCTGTCAGTCTCCACAGAGTACGCCATTTTGCCTTCTTCATAACCCTTATTACTCCCTAAACTATACTGTTCATTCACATGTGTGTTTGATTATCCGTCTCTCCCAGCTAGACTGTAAGCTCCCTAAGGGCAGTGCCTGTGTGTTATTCATCAGCCTTCAGCATGTCACTGATGCTTAGTACACTAGGTGGCACTTAGTAGCCTCTAGTACATTTTTGTTGAATGAACAGGGAAAGAATTAGCATTGCTACATCCACATAAGAACATAGCAAATATTCTCTTACAAAACAAGTCTCAAACTTTTACTACCTTAGACTAGCAGTTCTCAGAAGTGACCCCCAAATCCCTGGGAGTCTTTGATACTCTTTTCCAAATACATAGCTGTGGGATATTAACTTTTCTGCACATATTTCAACCAAAACATAAAGGAACAACTGAATGAAGAGCATGCATGAAAATCTATGCATTAAGTCAGACATTAAAGAGATTTGCAAAAATATAAAAATGAAACCATATTTTCACTAGATTGGTTTTTGTATTATTGAAAAAATAAAAATTTTTGAAACTTGTTTAATAATTATTATTAAGTAAATTAATAAATACTTTAACTTTTTTTCAATTTTAGTTTTTAAAAGAGTAAATATTAATAGAATGAAAATACACAAAAACCGCTGGGGTCCTCAATAATTTTTAAGAGTTTAAGGGATCATAAATCCAAATTTGGGAACCACTGCCCTGACTGAACTAATGACTTTCTAGAGCAAATTCACTACTAACTCAATAAATAGAAAAGACAGTGGGAATCATTTGACCTTTAAGTACTTTACATGTAAATATTTATTTCAAGATCTTATTACCATCTCCAATTATTTTAGCTATCAAAAGTAAATATTTTAAATTAGTTATATTCTCTGAACATAGAGCATTTGCCACCAAAGCACGATCTCCCAGGTGTATGTGCTAAATGGCAAAGTTGGAGCCACTAGGTGTAAAAATATTATTATGGCTAATATGCAAAAAGTGTGTAGATGAAAGTTGGCTATATTATAATATCCTCAGCTTTATAAAGTATCTTAGTGTTTCTTTACATTTGATAATTGTTTGTAATAAACTAAAATGCAATTAAACACTAAAACACAGCTTGGTGTTTCTATCCTCATAAACAAGCATTTCATTTCACACAGTTCTGGCCATCCATCCTCCTCCACTAGAGGGGCTCAGCTTGACTGCCCTGAGCCAGGCAAGCACAGTAATGTGTGTTTTATTCAGCATTATTCTGAACAAAACTTAGAAAGAAAACACGTACCTTGTGTACCAACGATCTCCATATGTAGGTGGGCCAGGCCACTAGCTATTGAAAGGGCCAGTTTGATCATGCCAGCCACAGTCACTATGTTTCTATTCAAATAGTCATATAAGGAACCCAGTTCATGATATTCAGAGACAAGCCAAAGTTGAGTCCAAGTTCCATTATCTAAATGTGAAAAAGTCATTTTATTGCTATAAATATATGTTGAGAAAGAAACCAAAAGCTTTTACCAAATGTCAGTATTTAAAGTAAAGCTGTACGGTTCACAAAGCAAAGCTAATTCCTTTAGTGAGGATGCTGATGGTCCAAATGAGCAAAGTAAAATTTCTCACTGTATCTCTGAAGATACTGATATACTAGAACCTGTTGCATGTATCCGCCAGACCTACAGGAAGCTGTGAGAGTGATTCTGATTAAGTGAACAACTCCTTTCTTCCACTCTTTTTATACTGATAGCACCACATTATAGGAGAAGCTACTGACAGATGTACTTAGGCTCAGTGTCGTGCTAAAATTACTCTGAGCTTTCAAAAAAGATTGTTCCAGTACAAACCAGAAATGCAACAAATTTACACAAAGTGTTATTAATGTAATAAAGACTCTAAAATTCTAAGAACGTTTATGTTCTTCACCTTTCAAAATACGAAATTGATGATTTTCCCCAAAAGTTAAGGTTAAGAGCCAAATACAGTTACTAGACATTATCAAGTAATTTATTTCATTCAACCAAAAGCTAACCCAGCTTATAAAATATTTTTAGCAGAACAGAAATTAGCCTACAACTTCTTCAGGTATTATAGTCCCTGGTGTTAGCTTTAGCTTTTGGAATAGTGTCTACAGCAGCTCTGAACAGTCCTGACCTGTTCTAACACTCAGAGAAAGGAAGCCATAATGAACATTTGCTAAGGACTTTTTCTATTAAATGCTTTATGTACAAGAGCTACTCCTAATCCAAATATTTACTTTTCAAATCCGGGTAGTGATAAAATTTCCCAGGAATACAAAAATCAACATAACATGATAAAGTTCAGTAATAAACTAACCATATATTAAACTAATCCTTATTCTGACTCTTTCCCTGCTCAACATCAGTGGCTATCTTGCCCTCTCATAGCAACATCTCTGTCAGACTGTTGACTAACCAATGGAACTATAAATACCACAAAAGATTTAGAAATGAAGATGAAAGCAATGTTGGAGATCATTTGAAACCATGCACAAAGCCACTGATAAGCCAGTGACAGAGGTAGACCAATTAAACTGAAGAAGAGACAATCAAGGATGATCTCCCTTGGGCCTATTGTTTTATAATCAAATAAACAACATGATTAAATTAGCCTCATCAAGATGATCCATATACCTAAAGTCATTACTGCTTTGACAACAATGCTAATTAATCTGATCAGTAGGTACACCTTAGCTCAATCTTAGGAAGGAAAAGGAAAAGTTCTAAGCTTACTAAGAAAGGTCTCATTTTCAGTCGTCTGGATATTTTTTCAAAGTACATAAAGTTAAGAATTTGGAAAGAACCTTTTTTGTTTATAGCTCATCTTTATCCAGTTTATACCTGGGAAATCAGAAAACACATACCATCTGCAAACATAATTATGGCCAAAATGTACAATAATTCTAAGCCTCTCTTTTGTCATCTAGTTAGTAATAAGCTTATGATAGATAAAAATAACCACAGATTTTAATTTCCATGGGCAATGGTGGGTCTCTGATATCCACAGGTGATTTGTTTTTTCGATAAAGGTTACAGTCTCTACCTCACCAAAGTTCTTCATGTGTATTGCTGATTCGAATTTTCAAAAATTGACTGGGTCATGTTTTGCTCATCATTGTGTCCTGTTTCCCTTTGTTATGGGAACTAATGCACAATTAAGTAAGTAAAAGCCGTGCAAAAAGAAGAAAGAAAGCGTAAGTAATCCGCAAATTATACCCAGTCCCTGATTACTCAGGGATTTATACAATATTTTATGAAAATTGATTTCAATACCAAAACATTGATGCTCTGTCTTGCTCCACAAATCTCAAAAAGTCATACTATTTGAGGTTGTTGATGTTAAGTCTCAATATAATTTATACTCAAAGTACATTAATAGAAAATACAATTTCACTAAAATTGATTTGCTTGCTGCCATTCTGGTAATGTTCATAGAGAATTTGAGTCTTGGAGTTGAAGCCTATTTATACAGATGAGAAGTACAGTCCTAGCAAAGGTAAATATTCAACTAGCATTCACTGGTATGCCTGTCCCAGTTAAAATATTGAAATATTTCTGTCCTCATTGGCAAACAGCTGCTATTCAAAATTCCAATGTCATTCCTTTGCCCTAGACTCCCAAAGCAACCTCCCCGACCTCCCACTCCACCCCCACAAGATTCCTCTCCATCTCTTCACGAACCAGCAAGTAAGCGATAAAAACTAGCATGGCACGGTTCTCCCAGGACTCTGGACCAGCTGAAGCTTCTGTTCTGATTGGATGATTCCTGTGCCATACCAGTCACCAAATATTTTAAGTGTCAACTGGCTATGGTGTCATCATGATTTCATGTCACTCGTTTGCCCTGTCTTTATTGTATGGTTCTGTACATTTATCTGTGGAGAAGAGGAAAAGCATCTTCTATCCTCAATAAAGAAATTAGACTCTTATGGTGATCTAACGATGGACATGACATGTTTACTTGCTGAACCCAATTAGATAGAAAATACCTTTGTTGTCAGCAGCAATGAAACCAAGTATGTTTTCATGTCGCAGCATAACCGTCTGATAAATTTCTGCCTCCCGAAACCAAGATCTTTCATCTCTGGAGGAGAAGATTTTTACAGCCACATCTTCCCCACACCATCTTCCATGCCAGACCTCACCAAATCTACCTTTTCCCACTATCTCCTGAAGTACGATTGTCCTTGCAATTGTTCTTTGAACCAACAGAGGTAGACCTAACCAAAGAAAAGATGGAATTGATGAGTACAAACAAGGAAGTGTCAGGAAAGAATTATCATAATGATTATTATTTTCACACAAAAAGGCAAACATTGAAGCGCTTTCATAATTTTACCAATTTTGAAGAAATAAGGACCATTGTATCAAACTTTTAGGTCAAACCTTTCTCAAAAAAAACCCACTCCAAATTCTTCATATGAATTTCTCTTCTCACATTCCCAAATAAAGATTTCTTGAACATAGCCTGCTGCTACAGATATCTGATTTTCAGAATTGCTGGAAATCTCCCTGATTTGCCCACGAAAGCCAGTCAGGTCACTCAATACACAAAAGTTAAAAAAAAAAAAAAATGGCATCAGCCTCTAAAACAAAATGCATTGTTTCTAGTACAACTGGGGAAGCAGAAGAATTCCTTGTGAATTTTTTCAAAAACCAAATTAAAGGGCTGCCTGGGTGTCTCAGTGGGTTGAGGCTTCTGCCTTCGGCTTGGGTCGTGATCCTGGAGTCCTGGGATTGAGCCCCGCATCGGGCTCTCTGCTCCACGGGGAGCCTGCTTCCTCCTCTCTCTCTCTGCCTGCCTCTCTGCCTACTTATGATCTCTGTCTGTCGAATTAATAAATAAAATCTTTAAAAAACCCCAAAAATTAAAATAGCAAAGTGAAGAATCAGATTCAATAACCAAGTGAGATAATCAAGTTATGCTAAAAAAAAGCAAGGCATCGTCATAGAAAACACCAAGTGGACATTCTTTGTGAAATAAAAAAAAATTCAAAGAAAATATATTCCAAGTGTATGTTAAAAGTTTAGATTCTTTGAACTAATAACCCCACCTCTAGAATTCTATCCTAAATATTTAATGCAAAATGCAGAAACATTATGTCAAAATATTTAATACCTATTACTTACAGGAAATAGAAGGAAAAGTATCGGAAAATAGAAAAATTGTTAAACATAGTGCTGTGATTAAGAGAACAGATAAATTTAAAGACCTCAGTTGCAATTTCAGCCGTGCCACATGGTAACCATAGGCAAGTATCGGAACTTCTCTGAGCTTCAACTTCCTCATCTAAAAAATAGGGGATATTAACAGTACCTATCTCATAGGGGTAACACAAGAATGAATTAGCATGTTAAGCACCTGGGACAGTATCTGGTATATTACGTGCTCAGTAATGGTCAGCCCTTAATATTCTATCTTAGAACAGATTACTTACAGCAAATGATAATAATGCTGCTTATGAGGAGGTATTTCTTAATGACATGGGAAAATACTTTTTCTATAATGTTAAATGAAAATAACACAGTAAATTCAACTCATCGAAATAAGTATACCTCGCTATTCAAAATATGCACAGGAAAAAGCCTGTAAAGGAAATTTGCCAAATGTTATGATGGTTCTGCCTATTTAGTGGAATCAGGATGAACTGTGATATTCTTCTTTCTAATATACATTTTCTTAATTCCCACAATAGGTACCTACCACTCTTATAATTAGAGAAAAATAGGTAAAGAGGTTACAGTCTAGGTTTACTCTGGGAAGTCATGTTTAGTCATTATCCATGTGCTCAGATGGCTTGGAAACTCTCATTGCTACAGCCCTCTAAGCTCTGCAGGGTTTGGCCTCTGCTCCTGAAATGGTTTATTCAGATGTTCTCCTCTTCCTAAGAACCACCCACTGTGGCTAAATAAGCACAGACTATAAGGTTGCTATTATGGATCTCAACAATTAGTCATAGAGCCCCATAGCCAGGAAGTTCTGAGATCGTCTAGTTCAACTTTATCGTTTTAGGGATGAGAAAATCGGGGCCCTGCAGTAATCAAAGACTGGCCCAGAAATAGGCTCTAGTGGGAGGCCAACCTACAGCTGAAATGCTGGTGTTCAGTCCAAACTCTTGCTCTCCCTCGAGGGAGACAAAACATAAGGGACTCTTAATCTCACAAAATAAACTGAGGGTTGCTGGGGGACGTGGGGGTATGGAGAGGGTGACTGGGTTATGGACATCGGGGAGGGTATGTGCTGTGGTGAGTGCTGGGAAATGTGTAAGCCTGATGATTCATAGACCTGTATCCCTGGGGCAAATAATACATTATATGTTAATAAAAATAATTTAAAACAAAACAAAACAAAAAAACTCTTGCTTTCACCATTCAGTGGATATGCCCACAGTCTTCCCCTGTTGGGAAGACTTCCAGCAGCAAACTCTAAGGGCTATTTCTTCAGGCTATGGCCAAGTTTACTACTCGACCATGCAGGAAAAGTTGTACTAACAATTATCAGGACAAATTACAATCTCAATCTCCCTCCTCCCTCCCTGATCTTGCATGCACACACTCACCAGAACACCACCATCAACAACCACTACCACCAGTAACTGACTAGAGAACTCGATTAGCCTCTGTTTTCAAACTGCAAATTGATCAAACACAGGACCAATGCCACAGACCAGGGACAGAGGAACACAACATCAACAAAGGTACTGAGCACAGCAATTAAGCTGAGACACTAAAACTCAGGGAAAGTTGCTTCGGTATCTTTCAAGGCAACAACTCCAAATAATCTAGTTCTTGTTTATACACTTAGAGATTTCATTTGAAGATACATAGACTTTGCTTCTCCCTGTAGGTTCATTTTACTTTTTAAAATTTTTTTTCTTTTTTATTTTTTTACTTTTTACCAGCAGTTGTAGAAGCTGATGCCTGTCTGATGGGAAGGCATCTTTCAGTAATGTCACCACCCATCAGAAGTGTTATATTGGGACAGGAAAGCAGCCATTCACCCAGTTTCTCAGAAGTCACCTGAGACGTGAGCCATTCTCAGAAACAGTCCAGCAACAGATCTGTTCACTTGCCTTTCTTGCAGGTATTTTATCTCTTTGAAATGACCTGGTCAGGGATAAGCCTCACAATTTTTGTTTTTCAACATCTAACAAAATTGCCTTCGCCTAAATTTTGCTGGCCAATTAAGGGAACCAAAGGGGAAGCAGAAGCACCTGATTTCCTCCCAATGAACGAGTTTTCATGATGGAAAACTTGTTGCAGCTAGACCCATTCTCCGATTACCAAAGGCACTGTTGTCATCAGGTACTTTTAGCCAGTGCTCACTGCTAAATGAATATAGCTGACTCTAAGAAAAAGTGTCTAAAACTCTTTCAAACTGGTCATTAAAATCATCTGTGCTTGGGTACATGTACGGCTTTCTTTTTAAGAAAGATCTTAGAATAATCTAAAGATGAGAGTTCAGCAGTCAATAAGCCCAGATTTAGGTTTAAAGATGCACAAAAACACCAAAATATCTTAAGGTTAATTTTTTAAATTTCATGTCTTGGTTCATGACTACTTTCTTAAACTAAATATCCATTCTCCAGTTATAAAGTCTCTATTATTTTTATTTGAGAGGGAAATTCTTAGTCATCTTAAATATATTCAAGGAGGAGCTACTTAACGTCTTCAGATGAACTGAAATGTTTGGGGGAATATTAAATAGTTATTTAATTACTTGAAATTTATCAAGAAATTATATGAGGTTTCAAGGAATTGGGCACAAATCAGAGCACTGTCTGCTCATATTTTGTGCCTAGAATGCCACCAGTGTCCAGGAAATTAGCACCCGGTTCGTCCCAGGATGTAACAGTCAAGGAAGGATGAGTACTGAATCTGAACAGCTTTACTTTTAAAGGAAGAACATCAGCTTTCTGTGCAATAATTTAATTTGGATTTTAGTTTTATAAACTTTGCAGTCTGGAGACAATTTTTTTCTGGGATGCCTCCTTTGAAAACATGCCACCTAATTTGTGCAGTGATGGTATACACATTGAGACCTTGGTCCATGACATAGCAGGGGAACTTGCCCCCCCAAACTACAAACTCTCTGGACTCTGTGGATGGCCTGATTAGGCCTCTCTTTCCTGGATTCTTAGGGGACTCTAAAGCTACTTCCTGTTAAATACAGACACTCATACAGATGCTACTGTCCCTCCGGCATCTGCCCTTGTTCACTGTGCCTGCTGGATGCACCTAAAGGCCGTGGGCTGGGGAGTTTCTCGAAGTCTGTTTGAGGTAATCATCTAAATGATCCTTCCAAAGCAAGAGGGGTCCCGGCTCCTAAAGTGACCCACATAGGCTTACCCTAGTTCACATTTCAGTACTGCACGCCGGAAGGATTTCTGGACATATACATGAGGAAAGGTCATTTTAGAAAGTTTATTATTACAGAGAAATCTGCTTGGTCGCCAGAAACCCAAAATGGCCTCATATTGTTTGTGCGATGAAAAAGGCTCATTTAGGCCATAAAACAGCCTGGTCTTTTGAACTGCTTCACCAGGGGTTGGGGAGTTCCATTAAAGAGGAATAGACTTACCATACTACCTTAGCAAAAGTCAGCACAGGAGGGCTGCGCTACTCCCTATCATCTCTGTTTCTGTGCTTTAAGAATACATTCTTGATTTTAATTTTAGGTCAGCTCCCCGTTGACTTCACACACACACACATCCCAGGGGGTGCTTCGGATTCTAAAGACTTCCATTACCACAAGCAAAGACACTCGAAGAATACCACTTCGCTCAACTAACATCCTCCTCAGAACTCAGCTCCTCAAATACAGTAACTTTTGTGCCCATGAAACATTACAAAGAGAGCAACAATGATTATTACTAACCATAATGGTGGGGGGTGGAGGGAGAGAAGAGAAACTCTTTATCGATTCAGAAGTACATTCTGAAAGAATATAAAAATGAGAATCTGAATACCTAAGGACAGAAAAGGCAACTGAGAGGAATTAATTCTTTCGGCCACAGCTGATGGCCCTCTTCATCAAATCCAAAAACAAGTTTTAATATCAGAACTTACCCATACCACATCAAGCATTCTAAATGACCCAGTTCAAAATATTGGGGCCCTTTTTGTTAGAAATTATTTTTATTTCTTTTTTAAATAAGAGTTTTCTTACTACAAAATGGACAACAGGCACATACCAGAGCCAGATCCAGAGGCAGTCACATCATAAATCAGATCTTTGAGAGTTTTTCCAGAATTTACCAGATTGCACTCGGAGAGGGGTTCCTCCACATTCTGTCTCTTTTTCTTCCTGTTTGTGCACGGTCGACCTTGGCATGCCCAGATGGTCAAAACTGTGGCCAAGGACAGGAGGCAGACTGGTACAGTAATGACAACGGTCAACTCCATGGGTCCAAGTTTGGGGACATTTGGAGATGCTTCAGTTAAAAAAAAAAAAAAAGAACATGACCATACATCAACCCATTTAAGGTACTCTGGAAATTGGAAATGTGATCACCAAAATCTCACATCTTTGATGTGGAACTACACCCTATGCACTTAGGTGAGTTGGTAAAGATTCTCTGGGGGATAAGCAAAGATGGGGAAAGGAAGTTGAGGTCAGGATGCACCCAGAATAATTATGCCAGGTGAAGATGGGAGCAGAATGAGGATCATGGAAAGCACTAGTGCCTGGGATCCTTTTTAAATCCTCCAAGGTATCTGACATTTTCCTACTATCTTCTTCCCATTTTTCAGCAGTCCATCCTGAGAGCACATTCATTCATTCACGCCACAAATAATTACTGAGCTCCGGCAATATGTCACCACTATTCCAGGTGCTGGAGATACAGTAGTGATGACAGCCAAATCCTTGCTCTCGTGGTGCTTATGTTCTCATACACCCACTAAACAGATGGATATGCGATACCCAAGCAGGAGGCCCTCAGCGTTATGATGAAGCAGAGGGGAAAGCGCAGGATGCCGGGGTGCCCCTTAAGACAGAGTGCTGCCAAAGGCTATTCTGGGAGGGGGCAGGGAGAACAGCAGGAAGAGCCCAAGGAGATGTGCTCTGGGCAACACGAAAGCAAGTGTACACCCCAAGATGAGGCCCACCCGGGCTGCTCAGGAACAATCCCTGCCTAGAGCGCAGTAAGCGAGGAGAAAGGCAGAAGACAGTAGGAGGCAACCAAGGGAAAGAGCATGCGGGGTATGGTAGGCTAAGTGAAGGGCTGTGTCTTCTATTCCAAGCAGATGCTGTCTCAGGACTTGGAGCAGGCAGACTAACCACGTGATCTCACTTCCATTCTGCAGGGCTGCAGAGGGGCACAGGAGTAAAAGTGAAGAGACCCAGGAGATCATCCAGGCAGGAGGGGACAGGACGGTCTTGGCTGAACTCAATCTGAAATAGGAACACTTCCTTCTCAGTCCCCATTCATTCTCTACACCCCTTTACTGTTTTGTTTTCATTCCTGGGTTGTATCACTGTCTGACACATCATATATTCATGTATTTATTTATCTATTATTGGATTCCCTCCAAAGAAGGTGTGCTTGGTGAGAGAAAGAACTTTGCCTGTTTTTCACAACTATATCCCCAGTGTTTACAACTGGAGATGATTAATAGTTCTTGAATAGCAGAACCACTAAAAATTCTACTAGTTTTGTTCTTAATAGGTAAGGGATAAGATTTTTAGTTTTGGAAAAATAAACCTAATAATTGAAACCAAGTAATATAAGGATATAATTTGTGACTCTAATATTAAAACACAGATAGCCACTTTTTCCAAAGCTCTCCTTGTATCTGAGAAATCTTTTTAAGTTAGGGAAAATAGTGATCCATGAAAAATCTATGATGGCAGATATTTGCTGTATTTTTCAAAGAAATTATTTTGACACTTGAAATGAGCACATAGTTCATTTTTCCTTCATTCACTAGACATCCTCAGCATCAATTTAATTTTATCCCCATATCCTATCATTAGGGATCATGATTTTTTGCTTTTAATAAACCCTAGGAAGTATTTGATAGGATACAGGAACAGAACTCTGGCGTCTCAGCTTCTCAGACATCAACGAGAAATAGAAGAACGCAGGCTTAGGAGAAAGAGAAGCAAAAGTAAGCAGACATTTTCTCCATTTGTGGCTATAATGCCTTGAGCACACTACACCCTTCCTGAGCTGACGAGGCATGTCCAGAGAGAGGGTTGCAGACGTGCATGGAAAGCAACAGCACAACAACTACCCCTTAGAATCTAAACAAAGGACGGTGATAATGGACCTCGTGAATTAAGCCATTCCTCAGACTTCCTTCTTTGCAATGACAATCCTGAAGAGTTCCTTAGATTAAATGCATTTATATTTTACTTACAATATGTCAACCGGAATATATAAGTATAAAGGCAAAACAAATATTTAATTCTCAAGGAAAAGGAATCGAATTCTTCAAAAACGTGTTCATACAAGTATCACTATAATCCTAAAAATAGTTGGTTTTTTTTTTAAACCGATAAATAAAAGAATTAAAGCTGTTAAGAGAACTCTGGAAACAAACATTATCCATACTCTTCTACTTTGCCCTGGGAATTCTGGCAGATCACCAACTTTCCTTCTCCAGAGTGCTTCAGGATTCCGCTGAAGTCATCAGGAGGTGTCCAGGTGCATATGAGAAGAACTTGGCCTTGAATGTTCTCATGACAAGGTGCTAAAAGAGTTCTTTGACTTGACTTCGCTTTAGAAATCATTAACCATAGTACCTGCAACTTCTACCATTTGCTATTATAAAAGGGTTTTATTATTCATTTCACAATGATCTTTCAAACACACATTTCAAGTTGTATCTGTATCTCTAGGTCCTCACGATGGTATTCTAGGAATTCTATGAAAGCCACAGAAAGCACTTAATCTTTTGCAACCTACATAAATATCTCACTTAAATATGTTTTTTTTTTTTTTAAAGATTTTATTCACTTGACAGAGAGAGATCACAAGTGGGCAGAGAGGCAAGCAGAGAGAGACAGAGGAGGAAGCAGGCTCCCCGCAGAGCAGAGATCCCGATGTGGGACTCGACCCCAGGACCCCGAGATCATGACCTGAGCCGAAGGCAGAGGCTCAACCCACTGAGCCACCCAGGTGCCCCACACTTAAATATGTTTTTAAAACAAAAATAAAATTTAAAAAACAAAATTCCACTATTAGATCCATTTATATGGCTATATCTTATTTCAATATATGTTATCAGGAGCTACCAATATAAACATTAGAGTTAAAAAGCTTATTGATTGTCTTCATTTTAGTAGTTCTATTAAGCAGAGCTCAGATCATCACTATGGCAACCAATAAAGAGGCGAAAGGTCAGTAACCCTGAAAATAGAATATTCTCTATAAAATTGTACTGCTCTAGTGAAGGTTACTGCTCTCAGAGATATTTATTACAGATGAGCAATTTTTCTACTTTTGTGAACAAATTTACTGATGGGAGTTAGTAATAAAAAAAAAGATTACTCAGCTAGAAAAAGGCTAGGAACAACATCCAGAAAGAGCTCCTTAAACACTGAGCAATTTTTAAAGCAAACATTTGTAAAACTATCTTCTAAACCAAATGTTGATTGTAATCTCCATAGGAGATAAACGAAGAAAAACTGTAGTCTCCACCCAATGAGTCATAGCAAAGGAGATAGCAGTGCAGCTAAGAATACATTTTAATAAGCTACCTTTGATGACTGTATTATTTTTCCTAGCAGGTTTTACATTCTCCATCATAGAACTCTCATTATTCAATAATTTTCAATCTGAGATTGCCTGTGCCGAATGAAATGCACCCTCCATATTATAAGCAGCTCCATGGGAGAACGTGTTAATCCCAAAAGTGAGGTCTGGGGAATGCTGCATTGTTCATTCATGTAATTTCACTCTCCAGCAATTAAACAAAATAGATGGGGGGAGGGGGCAGAGAAAAGCTCTAGGTGAGAGCCTAGGTCACAAGGATCTCCCCTATATAAGCTCACTGAACCAAAACAACACAAGAAAAGGAAGTATTAACCAGGAAGGGAGAAGGACACATTGACCCAAATGGGGTGGAAGATTCTGGACCGCTGAAGAGTCATGTGAAAGGCAGACAAATGTAAGAAAGTAAGATAAGACAAAACAATAAGAACCAAAAAGGAAAAAAGGGAGGAAAGAAGAAAGGAAGGAAGAAGGGAGGGAGGGACAAAGGAGTAAATTTTTTTAAAATTTGTGTGTGAACTTTGCAACTTCCACTAGAGACCTAAGTAGAACTGTTGATGGTGAAAGTCAATGATCATTGCCACTGCTCAAATTTCAGAACGATTTTCAATGCCTCAACTTCTTCTAGGATAGCGCCTCCTTGCCACTCCCCACTTTCAGCTTTAGGGAAGCAATCCTCAAGATGAAAAGAAAAAGGTAATACGGCCATGACCCCCATGTTTCCTCCCCTGCTGACCTCTTCTCTTTCCTCATTAAAAATCATTTTTATAATTACTGATGTTTGCAAGATGTATATGACCTTTAAATTAATTAATTTATATCTCCTTAGTTTATGCTATTAGTAGGATGACAGAACTAAGTGGAGCTCTGGACTAGATCAATAGCTTCAAATAGCCCATATTGATTATTGGTATGGAAATCTTGAAAATGTCTATGTTCCATGTAAAGACACATTTCATTATATTTAAGCACCTTTCAACTGATTACAAACTAAGACATTACAATGGAGTCAGGAATAGCAACTCTGAGAAGGGACATCTGGGTGGCTCAGTCGGTTAAGCATCCAGTTCTTGGTTTCAGCTCAGGTCATGGTCTCAGAGTTGTGAGATGGACTCCCCTGTCAGGCTCTGTGCTGGGTATGGAGCCGGCTTAAGATTCTTTCTTTCCCTCTCCCTCTGCCCCTTCTTCCCCTCTCTCTCTTAAAAAAAAAAAGAAAAAAGAAAAGAAAAAGAAAAGAAAAGAAAAAAGAAACTCTTTGAGCAGAGAATGACTAAAGACATACGCACTGGCCAGACAGCTGGTGAAAAAGAAATCCAAAGAAAACAGAGGTCTCCATCCAAAATGATTTTTTACAAAACTTTGCAGGGTTAGTGCTTCCTTCCCAAAGCTGTTATAGGAAATAACCTATAGATATTGAAGAGGATCCAAAACACCCCTAAAGAAACCACGGACTAATTTAATATTAAAACCACTCACATTCCTTTTATTAAAAGTTTTGCCCCAAGTGAAAAGATACCATCTTGCAAGATTGTAACCATGAATGTATAAATATCAAGTCTTCAACTGCCTCCCCTCCCCTTCTCCCCATAAGAGGAAGCATTTCTTTTTCCAGTTTGGAGCATGTTCTCAGGTAGTAAGCCAACAGAAACGGACAATGCTGCTTGAGATGCCTTCTGAAGAGTGTGCTTCTGCCCTGGCATGTCGAAGAAATGCCA